GCAACCAACGTGTCTCACATCAATGTTTCTCTCTCTCTTTCTCTCCCCCCCTCCTCCCTCCCTTCCACGCTCTCTAGAAATCAGTGGGAAAAGAATCCTCGGGTGAGGATTAAATATGTGTGTGTTGTTGCTGTAATAAGTATATGTTTGCTTCTATGTGCCGTAGAGAAATGTGACCAGCACATCGATCCGCAGCATAGAGGTTATTGTTAGAACAAAGCTAACCTGAATATTAAAGCATTTTTTAAAGAGGTTTTTTAAATATATTTTATTGATTTTGTACAGAGAGGAAGGGAGAGAGATAGAGAGCTAGAAACATGGATGAGAGAGAGTCATCGACCAGCCGCCTCCTGCACACCCCCTACCGGGGATGTGCCCGCAACCAAGGTACATGCCCTTGACCGGAATCAACCCCGGGACCCTTCAGTCCGAAGACCGACGCTCTATCCACCGAGCCAAACCGGTTTCGGCTATTAAAGCATTTTTTAAGTGAGGTGATTTTGGAAGAGAAACACGAAGTAAATAGTAATGCAGGTCTCAGCCGAGAAGGTGGATCGTGAGTGAGGAGCGTGGGGAAGGCCATGTGAGGGGCCTCTCGCCGTGCTGAGGGCTCTCGCTGGGGCTCAGGCTGATCCTCAGAGCGGGCGCCCAGGGGCTGGGCAGGGGAGGCGCCGGCCTGGCGGTGAGGCGGTCAGTCACAGCGGGAGGAAGTGCGTGGCGTTCGGACCATGGTGCCCCTCTCCGATGTCTGGCCACACACACACACACACACACACACACACACACCCGCCTGAGCTGCAGGTGTGCGTCAGGAAGGATAATTGGCATACGTTAGTTCAGGTGTGTAACAGAATGATTTGCCATTAGGATACATTGTGAGATGATCCCTGTAATAAGCCTAGGTAACAGCTGTCACGGGTAATGAGAACTTCTAAGGTCTATTTGAATTACTATTTTTAACGGTGCAATTAAAAATTTATTTTTATTGTGGTCTTATCTTTTTCTACTTTTAATTTTTAAATTTTTATTGATATTTTTAGAGAGAGAGGAAGAGGGAGGGAGAGGGAGAGGGAGAGGGAGACAAAGAATTCAATGTGAGAGCAATACATCAATCAGCTGCCTCCTGTTTGTCCCCCACCCAAGGACTGAACACACGACCTGAGCAGAAATCGAAACAGTGACGTCTTGGTGCATGGATCAATGCTCAACCAACAGCCACACCAGCCAGGGCACAGTCACTGTATGGAATTCCTCTCTCTCAAAATCAACAAAAACATATTCTTAAAGTTTACTTTTATTGTTGACGGCATTATAGATATCCCCCCCCCCCCACTTCTCCCCTCCACCCAGCCCTCACCCACGGCCTTCACCACACCATTGTCTGTGTCCATGAGTGAAAACATTTTTTTTTAATGTAGTGATTGCCTCTGGGGAGAGCAGTGGACGGAAGAGGAATGTTGGGGACTTTCAAATGCATTTGTGACCTTGAGTTTTAGTTGTTGTAAAATATAACACATTTGCACAGCTGTAATCATTTTTTTTAATATATTTTATTGATTTTTTACAGAGAGGAAGAGAGAGGGACAGAGAGTCAGAAACATCGATGAGAGAGAACCATCGATCAGCTGCCTCCTGCACACCCCCTACTGGGGTGTGCCCGCAACCAAGGTACATGCCCCCGACCGGAATCGAACCCGGGACCTTTGAGTCCGCAGGCCGACGCTCTATCCACTGAGCCAAACCGATTTCGGCTGCTGTAACACAATTCAATGGCATCATTTACATTCATAATATTGTGCAACTATCACCACTATTTCTTTCCAAAACTTTTTCTTCGTCACCCCTGACAGAAACACTGTACTTGTTAAGCCATAATTCCCCATTCTCTCCTCCCCTGACCCAGCCCCTGTCTCTATAAATTTGTCTATCCTGGGTATTCCATATAGTAAAATAATACAATGTTTTGTGCTTTTGTGTCTGTCTTATTTCACTTAACTTGTCTCCAAGGTTCACCAGACAGTAGCATATATCAACGCCATTCCTTTCCAGGGCCGAGTGATAGTCCCCGGAATTGCCACACCACGTTTGTTTCTCCCGGGGAACTTGGTGTTTCCCTGTGGGCCGGAGTGAACAATGTCGGAGTCCCTGTGCCCCGTTCTTTGGGCTCTGCCAGAGCGCCCTGCATCCTGGCGTGTGCACCGGGTGCTGCGGGGAGGGTGCGGGCAGCAGAGCAGGTGAGCATCGCCATGCCACAGCACCGCGCCTCTGGCCCGGCGGCTCTCCTCAAGGTAACTGCGTGGAAATAACCCCGGGGCACCCCAAGCCCGCCTTCCAGAGCCCGCTTCTTTTTTTATTTTTTATTTTTTATTGATTTTTCACAGAGAGGAATTGAGAGGGATAGAGAGTTAGAAACATCGATGAGAGAGAGTCATCGATCAACTGCCTCTTGCACACCCCCTATTGGGGATGTGCCCGCAACCAAGGTACATGCCCTTGAGCGGAATCGAACCCGGGACTCTTCAGTCCGCAGGCCCCGACGCTCTATCCACTGAGCCAAACCGGTTTTGGCCAGAACCCACTTCTACCTCATCGGAAAGATGAGGTAGAAGTGGGTGTGTTGCTGGGAGCTTAGCAGCCTGTGAGAGAAGCAATTGGAGGGGGGTGGAGGGGAGAGTGAGGGCACAGGGTTCCTGAGGGCTCTGACCAAGGGCAGACTCTACTCCCTCCACTTTGCCAAGGGCCGTTCCGAAATGCCGAGCTGCCTGCCCGCAGGGGGCCAGAGGTGACATGACGGATGGGGTCTGGACATGTCCAGCTGCTTAAGGGGCCACACACACCAGCTGGCACCCCAGCCTTGGCAAGTACCTCCGCTTCTCAATGCACGTTCCCCCTTCGTCCTCACCCGGTCCTGGCAGCAGGCAGGGAGAGGGCAGCCCACTGCGCTTCCCTGGGGGGAAACCGAGGCAGGCACAGTCCGGGAAGGCGGAGGCAGGAGAGCTACAGCTCCCTGACTGCCAGGCGCTGCAGGATGCACATGCCCTCCGTCCCCATCTCCAGGTCTGACGAGGTTCGTGGCCTCCTCGGTCCCACAGGTGAGGCTGAGGCCTGGGGTAAGGGACTTGCCCAAGCCAGGCACAGTAGGAGGGGACACTGGCCTTCGAATCGAGCCTGCCTGGCTCCGCAGCCCTCTCCTTCTAGAAACTGCACGCCTGCCCAGCTAAGGCCAAGGCCACCCTCCAGGGCCTCCCCCGTCTCCGCAGGGCTCAGGGCCAGACAAGCTCAGGCCTCAGGGTGGCTCTCGACTCCGCCACCTGCCAGCCCGAGGGCTCCTAGGGTCCCTGGCTCCGTGCTCTGGAGGCTCAGTCCTCTGCTCAACGTCTAGATCCTCCCAAATGCAAGCGCCTTCAGAGCCAAGAGCCTGGTCTTCCAAAAAGCCAGACCCACAGGAGGCCAGGACAGAGCGGTCCGCCCTCTCCTGTCCCACCCCCGTGCACACAGGTAGAGCTTTGATGTCACAAAGAGCACAGGGACAGGGGCCAGAATATCTGCGCTCCCATTCCCAGCCGCATCACGCTCCGAAGCCTCGGTTGCTCCATCTGCGAGAAGATGGCAACACTGACTCCCCCAGTGAAAGAATTTCGGAATGACGGCTCCGTGTCTGGATCTTAATACCCTGTGCCCTTACATAACCGCTCAGGCTGCAGTGATGGTGGAGGGGGTGGGGGGCACAGGCTTGGGGCCCCTCATTCAGACTCAAGGAAAGGACCCAGCCAGGAAGACAGTGTTTCTGATTGGTCGCCAGAAACCAGCGAGTGAACTCCGCCCACGCCAGGGCCTTCCCGGCCACACCTGTCTGAGCAGCAGCCATTCCCCCACCCAGCTCTGTTCCCGGAAAGCAGGACAGCAGCCAGGCTGGGCTGTCTGGGGTTTGTTTAGTTGTCTGACCACGTGAGGCCCAGAGATGAGCAGGCCACACCCTGCCTGGCCAGCTCGGCCTCATCCATCACTCCTTGGGAAGGGCTCTGACCACAGCTGGAGACCAAGTTCTCCCCGGCCTGTTCCCATGGTCCCTTTAACTAGTCCTGGTTAAGCGGGGAGCTAAGCTGAGTTTATGGATGTCCATACACGACCCGAGAGGACGTGTGAACAGACTGTGCCAGCAGTGACCTTGGCGAGCGGAGCAGGCACATGCCGGGCTAGTGTGTGAGCAGCGTGTGCCCACATTCCTGGGAGTGCGGCTGTGTATCCCACTGGATGTGTGTGTGTGTGTGTGTGTGTTGTGGGGGCGGGGGGATATCTGTGCAGAATCCTTCACCACGTCTACGGGGTGTTTGTGTGCCCTGGTGGGTGTGCTTGGAGGCGTGGAGGACTGTGCCCAGCCCCCTGCCCACCTCTGTGCCATGTGTGGGTGTGTTCTCAACCACTCTGTGTGGACACCTATGTTGGGGTGTATGTGTGTGTGTCCTGCAGAGATATGAGCTCGGGGCTCGTGGACACTCCCGCCAAGTGTGCACACCCGCTGTGCGTTTGGAACGCCCTTGCACGCTGCGTGTGCCCTGTGGGGAGGAACGGACCCAGCCGGGGCTGGCGCGGGCGGGAGCGGGCGGTGTGCGTCCTGCGCGCCCCGCTCCCCGCTCGTCCTGGACCGCGCGCGGGGAGGCTCCAGGCGGCCCTGCCTCCCTCCCGGGGGCGCGCGCGGGGTCCGGCCGGCGGCGCGCGGGGTGAGCGCCGGGGAGCGCGGCTCGGCTCGCTCGGCTCCGGCTGCTCGGCTCCGGCTCCGCGCCGCCCGCACCGCTCGGCTGCCGCCCGGTGACGCGCTGGGCCCGCCCCCGCCGCCGCCCCCGCCGCCGCCCCCGCGCTCACTCGCCGCCGCCGCCGAGCAGCCGCCGCGCCAGGGCCGTCCCGGGGCGCCGCCGCCCTCCGCGCTCCGCCGGTGCCGGGCCCCGGCCGGGCTGCGCCACACCGGGCCGGGCCGGGCCGGGCGGGGCCGCGCCGCCTGCATGACCCTCCGGCGGCGCGGCGAGAAGGCGACCATCAGCATCCAGGAGCACATGGCCATCGACGTGTGCCCCGGCCCCATCCGGCCCATCAAGCAGATCTCCGACTACTTCCCCCGCTTCCCGCGCGGCCTGCCCGCCGCCGCGCCCCGCGCCGCCGCGCCCCCCGCCGCCCCCGCCGCCGGCCGCCGCAGCCCCGCCGACGGCGCCCGCGACGACGAGGAGGACGTGGACCAGCTCTTCGGAGCCTACGGCGCCGGCCCCGGCCCCGGCCCCGCGCGGCCGCCCGCCAAGCCGCCCGAGGAGGAGCCGGACGCCGACGGCTACGACTCCGACGACTGCAGTGAGTGCCGCCGCGCCCGCCGCCGCCCCCGGCCCCGCGCCCCGGCCCCGCGCCCCGCACGCTCCCCGCCGGGCCGGCCCGCCGCCCGCTCCCCGCGCCCCCCGCCGCCGCGCCGCTCGGAGGGGGGGGAGTTTGGGGGCGCCCCTGGGCTGTCCCGTCCCCGAGGCCCGGCTCCGCAGCCCGCGCCGCACCCCTGTCGGCTGGAGCGCGGCGCGGCGGCGGCTTTGTTCCCGGGAAGGCGGAGCGCGCCCGGGAGACACCAGTTGCTGCCGCCGCCGGAGCTCCGTGCGGGGCGCGGCCGGGCGGCGGGAGGAGGAGGGGGCCGGGCCGGGCCGGGCGGCCTCCCGGTGGGCCCGGTGCCCGGGGCGCGGCGGTGTCGCCGGCTTTGCGGGCGCGCGGGGCGGGGGCCGCGGCGGCGGGGCCGTTGTCTTTGGGGAACCTTGGCCGCTCCTCCTGCGGGCGAGGACCCCGCCGCTGCGCTCGGGCCGCCGGCCTTCGCCACCTGTTACGCCCGCTCCCCGCCTCCCCCTCCCGCCCCGCCGGCCGGAGGGCCCCCCAGCCCCAGCCCAGCCCCAGCCCCGGCCCCAGCCCCAGCCCGCGCCTCCTCCCGGACCGAGCCCCGAGCCCCGAGCCCAGCGAGCAGGCGGGCACCCGGGTCCCGGGGCCGAGGCCGGGCGGGCGCTCCGGGCGCCTTTCCCGCCTCTGGGGGTGCCCATCCGGGACCGCGGGGGACACGGAGGGTGGGGAGGCCGCTGCCCGCGCTGTGGGTTCGAGCCGGATGGGAGCGGGGAGCGCCGTTCGCACGGCCCCCAGCCCGGCTTGCAGCCCGGCCACGTCATCCTCCGCCCTGGAACCGGCGCCAGACCCCGGGATGGGGACCTTTGGAGCGGGGTCGCCCGCGGGCGTCGCCAAGGCCCCCCCCCCCGAGCCCCATCCCCCTCCCCCCGCGCAGCTTAGCGAGGGTGGCTGCAGGCCTCGGGCTGGGGGGCTGGCGTGGCCTGCAGCCTACACTGTGCCTCTGACGCCGATGGGGGGTGATCAGCCCTGGAAGGGGTAGGGGGAGGCGGTCACCCATCGCCCTACCCAGGAGGCCCAGAGGAGTGAGCCCAGAAGCCATCAGCTGAGGCGGTCAGAGCCTCAGAGCCCGGGCCTGTGCGGGGAAACTGCCTTCTAGGCACTTTCTCTGGGCCTGGACCACAGCCCTGCGGCCAGAGGCTGGCGTGCTGAGGCCCTGCTCCCCCAGCTACCCGCATGGGAGGGGAGCAGTCCTCTCCCCTCACTCCTCTCCCCGCTGGGGAAATGGAATTGGGGAGCTGATTGGCCTGGGGGCTGTGCCTGGCTCTTCCCCACCCCCAGTTCCTGGCGCCCTGGGCACAGGCACCTGCACCCCCTCACGTGCTGTGCCTCTGGGCGGTCCTAACTGGGCCCCAGGTCCCCCCTCTGGATTCGCTGAGTCCGAAGTGGCCTCGGGAAGAAGGGATGGGGAACTTGTTCTGTTTGTAGCATCTTTCCTTCCCCTCCGGGGCCGGGGAGGGGGCGGGGCAGGCAGGGCTTCTGCCCGGCGTCAGGCAGCCCTCCAGGTGCCACAGGGTCCTCTGGGTGGCATACAGCGGAGGTGAGAAACATGGTGTTTCTTTCTCTGTCCCCGAACCCGCAGGCAAGGGGCGGGGGGCGGACGATTCCCAGGCCAGGCCAGCCGCCACCTCTCCAGGCCATCAGCTCAGCGCTCCTCGGAGCTCGGTCCTCACAGCACACAGAGGGGCCACGGGGCTGGGCCTGGGCCCGGAGCGCCCACGTGTCCCCACAGGAGACAGGCCCCCTCGGGGTCCGCGGTCCGAGGCGGCCCTGGGCACCGCCCTGCCAGCCTGGACCGTGAGCCGGTCACGCCCCTGTCGCCAGGGCACTGCCGGAAAGAGCTAGGGAGGAGAGAATGTGGGGGCACAGCCCACTCTCAGGGGCCGAGCAGACACCCCGGGCACGGGCACGGGAACCCAGAAACCCTGGCTCCCGTCTGCCGAGAGGGACCAAGGTCTGGGCGGAATTGCTCTCCACCCGGTACCCCGGGCCCCCGCCGCTCGGCTCTGACCGCCAGATTCCCGGGATAAGCCGGAATGATTCAGGCCAGATGGTTCCTTACAGCTTCAGCCAGGGTTATGCTATTTGCTGCCCTAATTATTGGATTAGCTCTCTCCTCACAAGAAGAAATGAGGGCGGTTGGTCTGCTGTCCGGGGCGCGGTGTGTCTGCTCGGCCTTGTCTTCCTTCCCTGGAAAGCTCGTCCCTGTAAGTCACCTCGGGGCCCGAGCACCCCGTTGGCACGTCCCACGCTGACCGAGCAGAGGCGTGTTGGCGGGGAGAGGAGGCCCTGAGTGCTGGAGGGAGAGGTGCCCTCTCCCCGGGGACCCACAGTGCGTCTCCCTGAGCTGGCCTCTGAGGCCTGCTCCCCCCGGACGGGCCCTATGGCCCACCCTTCCTGGGTGCCTCTCCCTCCGCCCCACTCTCCTCCTGTGGGACCCGGGCCGTCCTTCAGAACGGGAACAACGAGGAGGCTCTGGGTTGCAAGTAACAGGAAACTCCGATGTGCTCGGCACTGAGGACTGCTGAGGGCGGTGGCACCGGGCACCTGCACACGGCAGCTCGGCAGCAACAGCAGGAGTGTGGTTCCGTCCGTCTGTCTGTCCACGAGGCCACGCTCATGCCCTCACAGGCCGACCTCCCTCATGGCCCACGGTGGCCGCGCAGATCCGACCGTCACGTGCAGTACTAGGACCCTCCCGCTTTAAAGATGTATGTGTTTTTATTGCCTTCGGAGAGGAAGGGAGATGGGAGAGGGAGAGAGAAATAGGAACATCAGTGATGAGAGCGCACGTGGATCGGCTGCCACCTGCACTGCACACCCCACACTGGGTCCAGCACGTGCTCTGGTTAGGAATTAAACCTCAGCCAACGGTGCATAGGGCGGTGCTCACCCACGGAGCCACGCCGGCCGGGCGGGATCCCAACGTGGATAAGGGTCCGTTTCCTCTCCCACGTCCCAGTTGAAGAGTGAGAAATCTCTCCTCAGAGACCTGTGTTTCTGCCTCCCTGGCCAGGATTGCATCACATGCCCTTGTTTACGGGCAGGGCAGGACTGAGGCCGTGCAGGCCTGGAGCGAGGAAGGGGGTAGGCTGCCCCGAAGGCCCTCCGCCACCGGCCGCTTCCCGGGCCCACAGCAGTGATCCCTTCCTCCGGACCAGCCATGGTCTGCCCGGCCCCTGTTCTTATGCGCCCACCACCTCAAGGCCAGCTCCGTGCCAGGCACTGAGCTGGGCACGAGGCTCCAGGATGACGGAGACACAGGCTCTGTCGTCAGGGAGTTGATGGAACTCAGACGGCACACACAGCCCCGCAGTGAGGGCAGGAAGGCAGGAGCCCAATCCCAGGCACAGGGAAGACTCCACTCAGAGGCCAGAGGGAAGGAGGGAGGCAGCCGACGGGTGAAGTGGAGGGAGGCAGGGCGGCGCTCCTGGGAGAGGAACCGCCCAGCGCGGGGGCAGAGGTGTAGGTGAAGGGGCTGGAGTCAGGGGGAAAGATGAAGGACGAGGCCAGAGCCGTCCCATCTCGGAGGAGCCGAGGGCTTGGATGCCACCCTGAGGAGGGTGCGGTGAGTCCGGGAGGCGGCGGAGACTGGGACACGTAACGCAGGGGCACGGCAGATGGAAAGCAGCCGCCCTCTGCCGCCGAGCGCCTGGAGGCGGGCGGTACGGCTCCTCCTTCTTGGGCCCCTTGCAGTGCCCAGCTCGGTGCCTCAGTTTCCCCAACTACAGAATGCTTTCAGGTCAGGCTCGATCGTGTGTGTGGCTCTTGCCATAGGTTTTTATTAAATTTATTTTTAGATATGAAAGTGAATATGTATTTAGTTAGATTGGGAAAAGAAATCACAACAAATTACAAATTTCTTGGAAGGTGACAAATACCACACACATAACAAAACCATGAAAAGCTGCATTCTATACCTCTTGAATACTCTTTTTCCTATTTTTGGTTGCATACTCTTTGTATGATAACTTTTTTTTTAATATATTTTGTTGATTTTTTTAGCCCCCTCTCCATACATACCCTTCCTCCCCAGAGTTTTGTGTCCATTGGTTGTACTTGTATGCATGTATACAAGTTCTTCGGTTAATCTAGTATCTCCCCCAGATCTCCCTCCCCTCCCCACTGTAATTTGACAGTCTGCTTGTTGCTTTACTGTCTCTATTTGCCATAGGTTTTTAAAACTCTTTGAGAGGCTGATGTTTTTCTTAAAAAAATAAATTTAAAAAAAAAAAAACAAGGCCTATTTCCTACGCCCAAGGGTGTCCTGGAGAGGAAAGCCCAAGTGCAAACCAAGGTCACGTTGATGCCGTTGGTCTCCACGGTGGAGCAGAGGGACCTTCGGCCTCAGAGGCACCCACGGGGGCTGGGGCTTGCTGGTCTCCGAATCAGCCCCATTAGACTGTCATCGCCAACAAGCGGTGACAGCTCTCCTGGCCCATTAGTGACCCGCCCTCCTTCTCTGTCCCCGGATGTCAGCTCCGGCCAGGACCTGCGATCTGAGTGGCTCCAGGGCACGGCCCCATGGCGCCCCCAGACCAGCACCTTCCCCCGCCCCGAGGCCCTCGGCACCCGCACCGCCAGCCCGGGCGCACGCCTGACCGGAGGCCCCTGTGCAGGGCACGGCCAAGCCCTTCCGGCCCCGAGAGCGCTCTGCTCTCCTCTGCTTTCCCCGGCGTCCTCCCGAGAGGCCCGCTCAGCTAGGCGGCAGGCAAAACGTTCCCGAAGCCCGGGGCTGTCAGGCAGGGGCTGTCAGGACGGCAGCGAAGGGGCCTGGGCTCTGCCTCCCGCTGTGCTGTGCCCCCGGGAGCGGGTCGCCTCCCCTCTCTGAGCCTCGCTCCTCCGAATGGGGAAGGGAGCCTTTGGACTATACCCTCCCTGGTGGCTGAGCTTCTGTATACACCTCTCTCTCTTACAAAACTCACATCGGAGTTCAAAGAAGCTCGGCATGCGGAGACCGGTGTGGCTCAGTGGATAGAGCGTCAGCCTGTGGACTGAAAGGTCCCAGGTTCAATTCCGGTCAAGGGCATGTACGTTGGTTGCGGGCACATCCCCAGTGCGGGGTGTGCAAGAGGCAGCTGATCGATGTTTCTCTCTCATCGATGTTTCTAACTACCTCTCTCTTCTTCTCTGTAAAAATTCAATAAAATATTTTTTTTATTAAAAAAAAAAGAAGCAGCAGCAGCTTGGCAGCCTCACCCCGGGGCGACACCAGCCGTGTCGTATCTCCCAGGAAAGCGGTAACAGGTGTCCGTCCGTCCGTCCGCCCCCTGAGCGGCGTGGGTCTCCTTTGCCGGGGGGGGGGGGGGGGACCTGGAGGAGGGGCTCCTCTCTCCTGGGGCCGGGCCCCAGGGGATGCAGGCGGCCCCTCCACCCACCGGCTCGTCTTCTCTGGGGAACCGCAGGGGTCCGGGCGGTGTGTGTTAACGTGCCGGCATCACACCAGAGAGCGGCTGCCGAGGGCGCTGGTCCGAACGGGCCGGCCATGAGGATGGAACATCTGCTCTCTGCCGGTGCCCCAGGCTGGCAGGCCACGGTCCCTGCGCTCGGGAGGCTCATGTCTGGGGTCAGGAGACCGCGGGGAGGCCCGGACGGAACAGCAGAGCGACCGAGTGTCCTGTAAGCCCACAGCTTCAGAGACGATGGTCACAGAAGCCTGGACCTGGGGCTCGCCGGGCCCGGGTGCTGGGCGGCGGTCGCTGTCAGAGGCGTGGTGATGGGTCCCTCCCCGGCCCCCTCACGGGGAGCTGGGAATGCAGCAGCCAGAGGCCAGACTCAGGCAGCCTTACAGCAGCAGTCCACTCAGGGGAAAGCCGCTTAGTTTGGACGCAGTTCGAACAAGCATCCTCACCTGGTTGCCTAGGCCAAGCCAGCGGTCGGCAAACTCATTCAGTCGTCCACGGAGCCAAACAACAACAGCACAACGATTGACATTTCTTTGGAGAGCCACATTCTTTCAACTTAAACTTCTTCTAACGCCACTTCTTCCACATAGACTCGCCCAGGCCTGGTATTCTGTGGAAGAGCCACACCCAAGGGGCCAAAGAGCCGCGTGTGGCTGGCGAGCCGCAGTGTGCCGACCACGGGGCCAAGCCAGTAGCTATTGAATAGGAGGGAGCCGTGCTGGCAGGTGCGCGTCCTTGAACAGGAGTTTGAAGCCAGTGGCAATGCCGGGTGCAGAGCAAGGAGGAAAACCTCGAAAAGAGTGGCCACTGGGGCCACGTGGCGGAGGGATCACGCCCCCCTCCCGTGTCTGCCTCGCCCGTGACACGGAGCAGCCACCGTCGTCATAGCGATGACTCGGTACCGGGAACGTGTGAGCGGCCGGCGGCGTCTTCCACGCCGGGGAGGGGAGTGATCCAGTTTGGAACGAGTTCATCCCAGAAGGAGTCTCAGCGGGGCAAGTACAGTTTTCTAGAAAAGTCACCGGAACGGCTCTGCTCGGCTATAATTATCTGCCGAGCGCGCTCTGTGTCCCCGGCGTGTTCTACAGCACCATGCCGGGAGGTGGGTCTTACGGAGGAAACTGAGGCAGAGAGAGGCCTGATACGCTGCCAGAGGCCACACAGCAAGGAAGTGCGAGGCGGGATTTGAACCCGGGGCCACGTGCCCTCCAGGCGGGAACAGAGATGCTGAGCGGGTGCCTTGTCTGGGGTTAGGAGCTACAGAGCAAGACACACCTGCCAGGGCCCAGTCAGTGTGGCTCAGAGGTTGAGCATCAGTTCGATTCCCGGTCAGGGCACATGCCCAGGTTGTGGGCTCGATCCCCAGTAGGGGGCGTGCAGGAGGCAGCCGGTCAGTGGTCCTCTCTCATCATTGATGTTTCTATCTCTCTCTCTTCCCCTCTGAAATCAATTTTTTTTTAAATAACTCTGCCGGGCCTGGGCCCCTGGGTGAGCCCAGGGATCCGCGGGCAGTGTGGTCCCTGTGACACCCACTCCGCTCTGCCGTGTTCTGGCGAGCAGGTGCCGTGGCTCAGACTTCAGTGGCCGGGCGTGGCCAGCGGGTCATCGTTGGATCTAGCCCCATGTTGGGTGCCCGGACCTCCCCCAGCCCCGCTCCAGCCCCCAGCCCCTAATGCTCTGGCTGGCTTGTGGTTGGAATGCCCCTCTCCCAGCCCCACGGAAGCGCCCCCTCCTCCAGGAAGCATTCCCTGATTGCTGCAGTTCACATCAAGATCAGCCTTCGCCCCGCCCTCTGGGCCCCCCGATTCTGCTATGGCAAATCCTTTCCATCCGTTCCTCCCATCAGGCTGTGCTTTCCTGGGGGAGGGAACCATGTACCTTTATCCCAAGAGGGTGTGTGTTGTAGACGCTCGGCAAGGAATGAATGAATGAATGAGTGAGTGAATGAATGAGTGAGGTGCCAGTTGGCAGCCCAGCAGGCTTCCAGCAGGATCTGGGCTTCTAGAGACACCCCATGAGGTGCGTTCTGCGGGGCAGGGCTTGCCCCGAGGCCTGCCCCACCTCGGCTCTCATGCTGGGAGCCACGTGGACGCGGAGGCCACAGCTGCCATGATTGCCCGGAGCGGGGCAGCTGCACCCAGTGATGCCGCGTCTGCCAGCCCCCGGGGCTCGCCCGCCGCCCCTGGGCTCGGAGAACAGCGAGAACGCAGCTGGCGCCTCCGCGCCTGCCCAGCCCCGGGGACCGGAGGCCGGGGAGCTGCCCCCCGAGTGCTGGGAGGTGGTGAGGGGGTCAGCCAGCCACCTCCTGGCTGGCAGCCGCGCAGCCTGGCCTCCTGCCCGCTCACATCGTCCCTCAGAGGGAAACCGAGGCTGGAGGCCAGACTGTCAGCTGCTGGAGGAGGGCAGGAACCCCTTCCGCGGAGCGCCCCGGACGTGTGGGCGCCGCGCTGGCCAGCGGTGGGCTAGGCCGGGGTGCGGAGGCCGGGGTCTGACTCCCGGGCCTCTGTTCACAACTACGGGGTGGCTGGCCCAGCCTCTCGGAGCCGCGGCCCTCGCCTCGAAGGTGGGGAGCCGTCCTCCCTCCCGGCGTGGGGGATGGGAAGCTGGCGGAGGGGCGGCCGGGCCCCTCGCCCGGTCCCAGGAAGGCGGTGCCGCCTCTCCCGCGGCCGGTGCGTGACCGGGCCCTCTGTCCGCAGCCGCCCTGGGCACCCTGGACTTCAGCCTCCTGTACGACCAGGAGAACAACGCGCTGCACTGCACCATCGGCAGGGCCAAGGTAGGTGGCCCGGGCGGCGGCCTCCGCCCCCTGGCGGGGGGGTCCTAACTCCTCTCAGCTGCCCTCGGACGCCTGCGGAGGGAGGGGGCGATGGGGAAGGAGCAGGACAGGGAGGAGAGCAGGGTGCGAGGGGAGGCCTGGGCGGGCTTTTGGGGACCAGGGGCCCTCTGCTGGGAGGGGGCTGTGGGGAGCGGGAAGGGAGCCACTCTGGGCGCTGAGACCACGCCAGGCGGGGCCAGTGTCGGCGTGGGCGCCTGACCCCGTTCTCGGTTGGCCGTGGGGGGCCTGCCCCGGGCTTGGCTGGCTCAGCTGTGTTCTCGGGAGGAAGGTGCCAGCGCCGATGCTCCCTCCCAAGGTAAGGCCGTGTGCAGCCTCCGCCAGGGCCTCCGGTGGAGGGAGAGCCGTGGGAGGGCCTGGGCCCGGCTCAGCCAGACGCTGCCTGTGCCCGGGCCGCACCCCCAACCCCCACCCTGCCGGCCTTCTGCCGCCTCCCACTCTGCCGTGGCTCTGCCCACTCCTGCCCTCTCCCCGCATGCCCCCCCCCCCCCCCCGGCCACGCACCGGCCGGCCCTGGCAGCCGAGAGTCCCGTCCGCCTGGCCCGGGCCCTCGTTGGGCCCTGCCGGCCTGCTCGCTCCATCCTGAGCCCGTCCTCCGGGGGCTGCGGGCAGGGATGCGGGGCCCAGCGCCTGTGGCAGCGGCTCCCAACCTGCCCCTGGTACACAGTCTGGTGGCCCCAGCTGTGTGCAGGCCGCGAAGTTCAAACAGATCCCTCCCTCTCCCTCCCCCAGCTCTGTGCGGGTGCCCAGGCTAGAGGACAGACGTGTTTGCACACACGTGTGTGTGTGTGTGTGCGTGCGTGCGTGTCTAGGAGTGTGTCACACAGGCGTTGGAGGTGGGGGTGGGGGACCCTGAGCCGGGGCAGCTGCCCGGTCTCCAGGTCTGCGGGCAGGGGTGTGGCGGGGCCGGAGGGAGCTGCGGGGCTGGTGGTGGTTGGGGAGGAGGCTGAGGCAGGGCTGACAGGCAGAGCCCCCGGGGACTCTGGGAGGAACACAGATGTCCTGGCCTGGACCCCATTGTGGCCGCTTCCCCCTGAGTCAGCACGGCAGCCTCAGTTTGCTCATCTGTAAAATGGGCTGATCCTCCCCACCTGCATGGTGGGCAAGCGGGACATGATTAGGTCCTGAGGGTGGTGCCAGGGGGAGGCCCCACCCACACGCATGGACACGTGGGCCTCGGACCCACGAGGAGCTGAGGAAACTGACCTCCAGCCGGGCGCTTCCGGGGGGCAGGCCGGAGCCTGGGAGAGGCCTGTGTTTGAAGGGCTGCTGGTTGCCATGGTGCACCAGGGCCTCGGAGCCAGCCCCGCCCGGATCCAGCCTGCGGGGCAGAGCCAGCTGCCCCAGGCCCTCCACCCTCCTCGGCTTCTCCCCGGGGCGGGGGAGCTAGTCCGGAGGGAGAGGGGAGCAGCCCTGGATGTCCAGGCCCTGGGTCTGCACGAACCTCCTCAGCGCTCACTCCCACCCTGGGCGGGGACTCACCCCTTTACAGCCGCCAAACAGGCTCAGGAGACCCGGAACCCGCCCCCCACCCCGGCCGGCTCTGCAGCCTGTGCGCCCCCAAACACGCCCGCTCCCTCCTTCCCTGCCCCAGCCCACGAGGAGGAAACGCAATTTCAGGCCCGGGAGCAGGCGTGAGGTGAGCCAAGCCATTCACTCCGGGCTCTCGGCTCCCTGGGCACCGGCTGTCCAGCGTGGGTGAGCGCTGCCACCTGGTGGACGGACCCTCCGTGGGCGGCCGGCAAGCTGCGCGGCCTCCACAGCATGCACACGGGGCTGTGGCAAATCGAGAGAGAGAGAGAGAGAGAGAGAGAGAGAGAGAGAGAGAGAGAGAGAGAGAGAGAGAGAAACGGAGGGAGAGAGAGGGGGGGAGGGAGGGAGAGAGAGGGGGGGAGGGAGGGAGAGAGAGGGGGGGAGAGAAGGAGAGGGAGAGAGAGAACGGACACAGACAGAGGGAGTCCCGAGGGAAGCGTGTGGCTGAGTGGCCGGGCAGCAGGGTCAGTGAGGGGAGTTTTGTTGGGGAGCAGGAGGGGTGGGGGTAGGAAGAAGGAAGGGCTGGCCCAGGCGGGGTGATGAGGCGCTGAGGGCCTCTGCAGGGGAAGGTTAGGAGATGGCTGCGGGCAGGGCGCTGGGGGAGGGAGGCGACACCAGCATCCGCACGCCCCGTCCTGGGGGCGCCCCCGTGAGGAGGGTCACGGACGGACAGCCGGTGCCTCGGGAACAAGGGGAGCTGCTGACCAGGCGCCCGTCACCCTCGCCGTCTCCGCTCAGGGCCTGAAGCCGATGGACCACAACGGGCTGGCCGACCCCTACGCCAAGCTGCACCTGCTGCCGGGGGCCAGCAAGGTGAGGCGTCCCGCCCCCGGCTCTGCGCGGCCTCACCCTGAGCCCCGCAGGCCATGGGCCCAGGCGGACTCGCACCCTCGCTGGGAGGGGCTGCGGGCGGAGAGGCAGGGGCTCCCCACGCAGCCTGCGCCCCCCCGTGCTGCGGGCGGACGGCCTGGGCTGAGGGTGTGGCCGGGGACTCCCGGGGCCCAGAGCGCCGTGCCCGGGGGAGCTGGGGGTCCCCACAGGGCTTTCCGAGCGGGCGGCGTTTCACAAAGAGGTCTCCTGGTGAAGAAGTTTCCGGAAAGCCAGCTGTCCCCGTGGGGCTGTTACAGCGGGAGCCTCACGGGGACAGGCCGAGCCCGAGCGGAGCCGGATGTGAGCCCGGCCGGCTGCCTGCCTGGCCTGGGCCTGGCCCGGAGCGGTCAGGGGCGCAGGGCCTGAGGGCCCGAGGGGCAGTGTGAGAGCCAGGAGCAGGAGGACTGCGACATGGCAGCTGGGCAGGCGCCCGCAGGCTTCTCCGGGGAAGGGGCGTCCGGCAGAGGGGCAGCCTGGGCAGAGGCTGGGGGGTGAGGGAGGAATCCCATCAACCCCGCCACACACACACGCACATACATACACATGCTCACGCACACACACGCAAATACATACACACGCACATACACACGCACAGACACACAGAGATACGTGTACACATACATATACACGCACATGCACACATACACATATATACATACATACACACGCACACACACCGGGTGCAGGGCCCCCGTGGCAGTGCCCAGGATGCCGGGACGCGTTTGCCACCAGAGCAGCTTCTCGCTGTCCGCTCTGTGCTAACCCAGGTGCCACAGGGCTGTGGGGCCTCCGACCGAGAAGCCACGTCCCAGTCCTTCCAGTTTAACAGGCCGCGCCCCCATCATCCTCATCCTCTGCCCTCTGGCTCCCGCTCCCCCACCCCGTTTTAAGGACCCTGTGATTTCATTGGACCCACCCAGGTCACCTAGACAACCTCCCTTTTTTTTTTTAAGGCGATTTTATTTAAGATATTTTTATTGATTTCAGAGAGGGAGAGGGAGATAGAGACATCGGTGATGGGAATCATTGATCAGCGACCACCTGCACAGCCCTGACTGGGAAACGAACCGTGACCCCCCGGTTCATAGGGTGATGCTCCACCACTGAGCCACACCAGCCGGGCTTCAGTGTCAGCTGAGACCTTAAATTCCCGCCGCCGTGTAAGAGCAGACCCAGGCTCAGGGCCGTCATCCTGCTCACCGCGCTCCGTCCTGCTCACAGGATTTCTCTCTCCTCCCCTCCCTCCCTCTCTCTCTCTCTCTCTCTCTCCCCACTCCCTTTCTCTCTCTCTCTCTCCCCCCCTCTCTCTCCCTCTCTCTCTTTCTCTTTCCCTCTCTCCCTTTCTCTCCCTCTCTCTCTCTCCCTCTCTCTCTCCCCCCCCCTCCCTCTCCCTCTCTCCCTCTCTCCCTCTCTCTCTCTCTCTCTCTCTCTCTCTCTCTCTCTCTCTCTCTCTCTCTCCCTCTCTCTCCCTCTCTCTCCCTCTCCCTCTCTCCCTCTCCAGGCAAATAAGCTCAGAACAAAAACTCTCCGAAACACGCTGAACCCCACGTGGAACGAGACCCTCACTTACTACGGGATCACGGACGAAGACATGATCCGAAAGACCCTGCGGTGGGTGAGGCCCCGGCCGCAGCCCCCCCCCCCGCGCCCGCCCCCCACTCCGCCCCGCCGCCCCCGCCCGCTCCCCCCCCCCCCCCCCGCAGCCGAGTGTCTGAGCCGCCGCGCCCTCGCCCCCAGGATCTCCGTGTGCGACGAGGACAAGTTCCGCCACAACGAGTTCATCGGGGAGACGCGCGTGCCCCTCAAGAAGCTCAAGCCCAACCACACCAAGGCCTTCAGCATCTGCCTGGAGAAGCAGCTGCCGGTGAGCGCGCCTGCTCTCTGCCGCGGCTCAGGGCCCGCGGCACGCCTGGCCTCCCTGCGCGAGCTGGGGGACAGACGGACAGACTTCCCCGCCCGCGTGACACTTGAGCAGGAGACAGACCCACAACAGGACCAGTCGCCCATTGGGGGCATCCGTCCGACGGGTGCAGGCGAGGGGCCTGGGTCGGGATGTGGGCCTGGGAGGGCTGGCCAGGCCTGCGGGGTGTTCCAGGCGGAGGGAACAGGAAAGTGCCAGCCTCAGAGGCACCGCCAGCCGCCTGCTGAGGGGGCGAGAACCAGGGGGGTGTCCTGGGAGGTGAGAGCCGAGGCTGGGGGTAGGCAGGGACTCGGGCCCTCGCCGTGAGTGGCTGGATGGACCACGGGAGGGCACTCCGCAGGGGCTGAGATCTGACGGGCGCTCTGGGCTCAGAGCGGGGGAGAGAGGGGGTGAGAGAGGGCCAGTGGTGAGCCGGGGCGGGCGGCAGCGGGAAAGGCTGCGGGGGCAGGGATGGAGTGCGGGCAGCTCTGCGTTTTGGACGCGGGGCCGGAGCACCTGGCAGGATCGGGGGCCGTTAACTGGGATGCAGAGGACCTGGGGCTTGGGAGGAGCAGCTGGGACAGGGGAACTCAGCTGGAACGTATCAGGCGTGAGAGTCCCAGGAGAGACGGAAAGGAATTCTTTCCTAGAAATGGCGGTTGTTTGAAGAGGACGACAAACCCATTTGACCCCTTACCCCCCCCCCCCGGCCGCCTGCAGCAGCTGAGCCTCCAGAGCCGCCCCCGTTTGTCCCTCGGCTCTCCCTCTGGGGAGCTCTGTGGGGGCGGGAGCGCTGGGCCAGGAGGCCCCAGGGCCCTGAGGAGCCTGACCCTCCTCCAGCCCAGTGCTCAGGGCACATCCCCCCGGGGCCTGGGCAGGGTCCGGGCGTAGAGGACACAGCCTGGTGGTGCCCCCGTGTGGGGCTGGGCCTGGCGCAGGCTCCTCAGAGCATCGCAGCTCCGCCTTCTTGCATAACTCGATCAGGTGTGCTCCCCTGTGAGTCCTCCCACTCACAGGCATCTGTGTGATGGGTGACCTTTTTGTCGTCTTATTAGTCACTAACCACAGGTAACCCCGTTTTCCAAGCGGGCTCTGTCCCTTCAAAAGGCACGTCAGACGCCTGCGGTAGCTGTGTCCCCGGGCTTTGGTCCCGGCGTGAATCAGCCGCCGTGTGGGCACGTGAGCCTGTGGCTGCGCGTGCCCGCGGGCCGGCGGGGGCGCCGAGCGTGGAGGCCGGCTGTGAGCGTGCGCACGGGGGTGGTGAGCGTGCATGCCCGTGCACGGGCGCCATCGGGGTTCGCTGAGTTTCCTGGATCCACCGGCAGCTGTGGATCTGGTTTCAGGGACCGAGGGCCCACAGGAGTACGGTTTCGGATTGCCCGCTCCGGCCACACAGACACGTGGATGCTGCCTTCTGGGTTTTCCATTGTCCGGGAGCCTCTTTGTTCTCAGTAAACCCTGAGTGGTTCCCAGCTTAATGGCTTTCCTGTGAAAGGGCCCAAAGTACTTATACCCGCTCCCCCCAAAAAGCAACAGCTGGAAATGTCGACGCTCACGTGAAGCGTTTAATTTCCACGCGTCACACAAACCAGCTCAGAGCCCATGGAGCCAGGCCCTCGGCCGGGCACCCGATGAGGCCACACCCCGGCCGCCCTCCCGCTGCATCTGGGCCCTGGGTGCTGGGGGTGCCGTGATCGGAGCCGTGTCTGCTCTGGGTGCTGGGCGCTGGGTGAATGCTGTGCTGGGGGAGCCGTGTCTGCTCTGAGTGTGGGCTGGGGGGAGCCTCGGGGGCGGGGGCTCTGGCGGAGTGTCCGGTGACAGAGCGAAGGAGAGGGCCCACGTGAGCAGCAGCCGGAATGTGGAAACAGGCGAGCTCGGGGGGCGCTGCACCCCGAGCGCCTCCAGGAAGCACCTTCCAGGGGCTCGGCCAGGTGACCCCTCACCCTTCACGGCTCCGTGTGCCCCGGGCGCGGGGCTGGCCGGGGCCGGGGCCGGGGGCGGTGAGGACGGCTCGGTGAGGACGGCTCGGTGGCTCCCCCCCCAGGTGGACAAGACGGAGGACAAGTCCCTGGAGGAGCGTGGCCGCATCCTCATCTCCCTCAAGTACAGCTCGCAGAAGCAGGGCCTGCTGGTGGGCATCGTGCGCTGCGCTCACCTGGCCGCCATGGACGCCAACGGCTACTCGGACCCGTACGTGAAAACGTGAGTGCGGCCCCCGGCCCCTCGGGAGGGAGGGCGGTCAGTGTCAGGACCGGGGGGCCGTGCGGCCAGGCAGCCTCCTTCGATCAGTCGTTGCGCATTATGGCGTCCTAACCATTAGCGTGTTAGCTCTTTATTATTATGACTAAAGTTCACGTGCTGGAGGGGGATCCCTCAGCCCGGCCTGGCTCCTCTCGCAGTCCGGGAGCCCTCAGGGGCAGGAGGTGACACCCCATCACCCCTCTGCTGCTGCCACTGCCGGCAGCGCAAGCCTCGGGCGGCCCTGGTTACCTGAGCCTCGGGCGGCCCTGGGTGCCTGGGCAGCTGCCATCTAAGGCTTCCTGTGCCTTGGGCGTCGGCCAGGCAGCCACCAGGCTTGCTTGCGCCACAGGCCAGCCCTGGGTGGCAGGGGTGCTGAAAGGACTGGGGGACTCCGGAGGTAGGCATACTGCGTGCTTGCTGCCCTGGCAGGGATGAGGGTACTGAGCGCCACTATCTTGTGCCTGTGGGTGCCACCATGTTTGAGGGCATGGCAGCAGTTACATATTTCCTCCTTATTGGCTGTGGTGACTGCCATTTTTGTGAGGGTGTGATGGTCCATTAGCATATTCCCTCTTTCGTAGATAGGATAACATTCCATTGTGTGGATAGACCACGTTTTGTTTATTCATCAGTTGATGGACACTTAACGCTGTTTCTACCTTCTGTCTGTGGTGACTGATGTTCCTGTGGACATCCATGTATCTGAACTCGTGGGGACGTGCTTTTAGCTCTCCTGGGTACAGACCCAGGAGCGGAATTGCTGGGCCTTAGGCTAACTCCATGCTTCACCGTTTGAGTAACTGCCAGACTGTTTTTCAGAGCGTCTGCACCAAGGTTGTCGTTTGATGTAAAAAGCGGCAGGACTGCGATGGTGGCCCACGGGAAGCGTGGCCGGCTGTGCCGTGGGGCAGCACCGGCCCCGTGGTGAGCGGTGCATGGCACAGCATCGGGCCACAGCTCAGTGAAGCGCTGGTTTTTAGCCCGGTGGGCCGGCTCCGGGGCAGCACCAGGCCTGACATCGGGCCACAGCTCGGTAAAGCGCTGGTTTTTAGCCCCGGTGCGCCGGCTCCGGGGCAGCACCAGGCCTGACATCGGGCCACAGCTCAGTGAAGCCCTGGTTTTTAGCCCGGTGTGGCAGGCTCGGGGGCAGCACCAGGCCTGAGGGGAGGCTGTCGGGGTCACTGGGGAAGTCAGGTCCCTGCACGTGGGGCTCAGGACTCATTTTCCACATAAACGACGACGAGTTGGCCCCCATGCCTGCCGCCAGCAAAACAGTGATTTGCTGCAGATTCCAGGCCACAGTGAGGGGACGTGCGGCTTCCACTCCGAAGACAGTCAGCGGCTCTTTCTGACCACTGGGCGGGTGGAGCTGGTGGTTCCAGTCAGGTAGCAAATTGGGCGCCTGGGGCTGCATGATTTCCCGTCTTTGTGTCCTAGAAACCCCAGCTGGGTGGAAAGCTGTGTGTTGCAGTATCCCTTGTCACAGATAACCTGGAGATAGCCAAGCATTAGTCAGCAGAGGAATAGCTGCACAGAAGGCGGCACAGGCAGAGCATGGAGTTCTGTGCGGCTCAGTGAGTGAGTGAGGACCGGATGAATGAGCATGGGCAGCTGCCCTAACAGGCTAAGCCGCAGCAGACTGCGGGACAGTGCACACAGGTGCTGCTCTGGCCGTTCCCTAACCCTGCAGAGTGCGGAGGGGACGGGGGGCGGAGGGGACGGGGCTGGAAAGGGGAGCAGAGTGCCACCACCTGCCCTTGGGACGCCAGGTCTCTTACGGCAGGAAATAGTCTGAAGCCACATTTTAAAATCAGGCTCCGTGCCGAAACCGGTTTGGCTCAGTGGTAGAGCGTCGGTCTGCAGACTGAAAGGTCCCGGGTTCGATGCCGGTCAGGGGCATGTACGTTGGCTGCGGGCACATCCCCGGTGAGGGATGTGCAGGAGGCGGCTGGTCGATGTTTCTCTCTCATCGACATTTCTGGCTCTCTCTCTCTCCCTTCTTCTCTGTAAAAATCAATAATACACACACACACACACACACACACACACACACACACACACACACATATATATATATATTTTTTTTTTTTTTTAAGTTTATAAAATCGGGCTCCATGGCCACCTGCCAGGCTGGTGGGAATGCCAGGGCTGTGTGCTGGGTTCAGAAAGCTGGGTCTTTCCGGGTGCCCCAGGCAGAGGTGTCCGGGCACGACCTGCCCACTGCGCCTGGGACCCCTCCCGGCCACGGTGTGGAGGCTGCTGGGCCACGGTGGCCGGGGCCCACCACCCAGCCACAGGCCGGTCAGCGTGGCCCCCAAAGACAGGCACGTGTCCGACCGCCAAGAGGTCCCTGGTTCAATCCCCGGTCGGGACACATGCCTATGCTACAGGCTCCATCCCTGGTGGGAGGCGTGCAGGAGGCGAAGGATGGATGGCTCTCTCTCTCATCCAGGATTCTATCTCCCCAACCTTCTCCCTTTCTCTCTCTCTAAAAAAAATCAAAGACTTTTTAAAAAAGACAGGCAGGTGTGTGGGTGGCTCCTGTGTCAGAGCCACATGGCACTTCCCCGGTTGGTCCCACCGCAACCTAGCAACCCCCACGTGACTAAAACTCCCCGCTGCTGCAGGGAGACGGGGCTGCTGCTGCAGGCCTCCTTCAGGCCCCTGCCTCCAAAAGGCCCTCCTGGACCGTGGGCCTTGTTCTTGCTAAACGCAGGAGAGAGAAAGGCAGAGGTGGATTTGGAGCAAGGGCCCCCGAGGCTGTCCTGTGTCCCAAGGGGGGCACCTGTGAACTGAGGAGCCAACCTGGATGGGCCAAGGCCTTTGGTCAGCACCCTTGTTTGTGTAAACCTCACCCCGAGGACATGTGCCTCAGTTTCCCCAGGCTGAAAATGGACTCTCTGGGGTATCATGGGAAGCCAGGGGGAACCATGATGGTGACTGTCACCATGGGCGTGTTCTTTTTCAAAAATACATATTTTATTGATTTTTTACAGAGAGGAGGGAAGAGGGATAGAGAGCTAGAAACATCAGTGAGAGAGAGAGAAACATCATCCAGCTGCCTCCTGCACACCCCCTACCGGGGATGTGCCCACAACCAAGGTACATGCCCTTGACCGGAATTGAACCGGGACCTTTCGGTCCGCAGGCTGACGCTCTATCCACTGAGCCAGACCGGTTTCGGCTCTTTAGGGTTTTGTATAAATAGAATCATGTTGTCTGCAAATAGTGACAGTTCTTCTTCATTCCTAATTCAGGTGCCTTTTATTTCTCTGGCCTCATTGCTCTAGGACTCACAGTAGTATTAATGCCTTGAATAACAAGATGAGAGTGGGCATCTTGTCCCATCCCTGGTATTAGTGGAAAGGTTTTCAGTGTGGCGGCACCTGAGAGCTTGTCATATATGGCCTATATCATGTTGAGGTACTTTTCTTCTCCATCCATTTTGTGAGTATTTTCATCACAAATGGATGTTGTATCTTGTTAAATGCTTTTTCTGCATCGATTATAAGCACATGATTTTTAAAAAATTATTGACACTTGATTCAACGGTTTTGTCTTTTGTTAATGTAGTTGACAAACTGGTAGATTTGTGGATGTTAGACCACCTTTACATCCCGAGAATAAACTCCACTTGATCATGATGTATGTGACCTTTTTAATGTATTGCATTTGACTTGCTAGATTTTGTTTAGAATTTTGCATCTATGTCCATCGGTGATATTGGCCTGTAATTTTCTTTGTGTGTGTGTGTGTGTGTGTGTGTGTGTGTGTGTGTGTGTGGCCTGGTTTGGATATTACGGTAAAGATTGGCCTTATAAAATTAATTGGGAAATATTCCCTCTTTCTCAGTGTTTTGGAAGAGGTTGGGAAGGACCGGATGTAAATCTGGAGTGTTGGGTAGAATTCATCAGTGAGGCGCTCTGGCCCAGGACTTCGGGTCTGGGGAGGTTTTTTTTTGTTTTGTTTTGTTTTTTAAATATATATTTTATTGATTTTGTACAGAGAGGAAGGGAGAGAGATAGAGAGTTAGAAACATCGATGAGAGAGAGTCATCGATCAGCTGCCTCTTGCACACCCCCTGCTGGGGATATACCCACAACCAAGGTACATGCCCTTGACCGGAATCGAACCCGGGACCTTTCAGACCCCAAGCCGACGCTCTATCCATTGAGCCAAACCGGTTTCGGCTGGGGAAGTTTTTTATTACTGCATCAGTATTCTTACTAGAGTCCAGTTTATTTAGGTTTTCCATTTTTTCATGACTAAGTCTAGGAAGTTTGCATACTTCTAAGAATTTGTCTATTTCTTCCAGGTAATCAAATTTGGAAGCCTTTCAGAATATTCTTGTAATATCCTTTGTATTTCTGTGGTGTCCATTGTAACTTCTTTCATTTCTGATTTTACTTTTTTTTCCCTTAGCGATATTTCTTTTCTCTATTTCATTTACTTCTGCTGTTTTTATTATTTCCTTCCTTCTACTGAACAAATGGGCTTTGTTCGTTGTTCTTCTTGGTCTTTATGGTGTAATATATTGTCAGTTGGGATTTTTCATTTCTTGAGCTAGGCCTGCAGAGTTATAAACTTCCCTCTCAGCTTCACTTTTGCTGCATCCCAAAAAACGTATTTTCGTTTTCATTTGTCTTTGTGTATCTTTTGGCCTCTTATTTCCTCTTTGACCCAATAGTTGTTCAGTAGCACATTGTTTAATCTCTACCTTATCTGTGGCTTTTCCAGCTTTCTTCTTGTGGTTTTCAATTTCACAGAATTGTGGTTGGAAAATATGCGTTATGGTTTCATTTTTAAATTTATTGCGACTAGTATTGTGCCCTCAACATGTGACCTATCCTTGAGAATGTTCTGTCTGCATTTAAGAAGAATGTGTATTCTGTTGTTTGGGATGGAACATTCTATAAATATCAATTAAGACATTTGTTCTAATGTGTCATTTAATGCTATTTCCTCATTGACTTTTTGTCTAGATTATTTATTGCCGTCAGTGGGGTGTTCGTGTGCCCTGTCTCAATTTCTCCCTTTAGGTCTGTTAGTAATTGCTTTATGTAAGTTGGTGCTCCCAGGTTGGGTGCATATATAGTAATGTGTTATGTCTTCTTGATGGATTGTCTCCTTTAGCATTATAAAATGTTCATCTGTCTCATTGCCTTTTTTATCTCGGAGCCTGTTATGTCTGATAGAAGGACTGCCATGCCTTTTTCTCTGGATGCTATGTACTTGGAGCATCATCTTCCACCCCTTCCCTGTCAGCCTGTTTGTCTCTGGAGCAGAGTCTCCTGGAGGCACCATGTAGCCGAGTCTTGTTTTTAAACCCATCTCTCTACTCTGTGTCTTTTGATTGGTAAGTTCAGTCCATTTACATTTAGGGTGATATTGATATATGAGGACTTGCTTCAGCCATTTATCTTTTATTTTCTTTTTTAAAATATATTTTTATTGATTTCAGAGACAAAGGGAGAGGAAGAGAGAGATAGAAACAACAATGATGAGAGAATCACTGATTGCCTCCTGCATTCCCCCTTTTGGGGATCAAACTCACAACCCAAGCAGGTGCCCTGGACTGGAATTGAACCTGGAACCCTTCAGGCTGCAGGTCGACACTCTACCCACTGAGCCAAACCATCCAGGGCTATCTTTTATTTTTTGATTGCTGTGTATTTCTATCGTGATTCCATCTGCTATTTTAGTTTGGCAGTTTTCTATGATTTGTTTCTGTTTTCTCATTTATGTTTCACGTCTCAGCTCTGGATTTTTGTTTTGTGGTTATCATTAGGTTGGTGTACAGTGTATCATACATACAATAGTCCTTCTAATGAGAACTCCATTTTTATAATTTTGTTATGTTGTACATTTGTTACAAAATTGCAGCCGTTATAATTTTATTTTTATTTTTTCTTAATATATTTTTTATTGATTTTGTACCGAGAGGGAGAGAGATACAGAGTTAGAAACATCGATGAGAGAGAGTCATCGATCAGCTGCCTCTTGCACCCCCTACCGGGGATATGCCCGCAACCAAGGTACGTGCCCTTGACCGGAATCAAACCCGGGAACCTTCAGTCCCCAAGCCGACGCTCTATCCATTGAGCCAAACTGATTTTGGCCGTTATAGTTATTTTTAATGCCCCTTTTCCCCCTTAACCTTTATTATTTAAAATCCTCTTCTGAAGTTGGCTGAAACTGGTTTGGCTCAGTGGTAGAGCGTCCGTCGGTCTGCAGACTGAAAGGTCCCGGGTTCGATTCCGGTCAAGGGCATGTACCTTGGTTGCAGGCACATCCCTGGTAGGGGGTGTGCAAGAGGCAGCTGGTCGATGTTTCTAGCTCTCTTATCTCTCTCCTTTCCTCTCTGTAAAAAATCAATAAAATATATATTTTTTTAAATCTTTAAAAAAATAAAATCCTCTTCTGAAGTTAAACTGCTATTTCCTGCTATTAGTCATTTTACTCAAAATTCTGTATACTGTTGATTGAAATGTTTTTATTGATTTTAGAGAGAGGAAGGAAGAGGGAGAGAGAGTGAAAAACATCAATGTGAGATGAGAAACATCAGTTGCTTTCTGCACACACCCTGAGCGGGGATTGAACCCACAACCCAGGCATGAGCCCTGATCAGGAATTGAACCAGTGACCTTTTGGTGCATGGGAGGACGCTCAACCAACTGAGCAACACAAGCTGGGCTCATTCAATTTTTAAACTTAGTTTTCTCTCTTCGCCCTCTTGACGAATTTCTGGTTTCTGTCTTTGGGCTCCCTCTCCCAAGAGATCCACTCTATCTCCAGTGCTCCCTAATGCATTCCTCACTTCACTTACTGAGGTCTGCGGTTCCAAAAGTTCAGCTTGGTTCTTTCTGTAATTCCAATCTCTTTAGCCAAGTACTCCTTCTGTTTAGATTTTATACCTGAGCTCGCTGGGCCGGCTTTCTGAGCTCTCCTGTCTCATTGAGGTTCTTCACGCCACAGCCTAAAGTTCCCTGCCATTTCAGTCAGCCTTCCAGGACTTGGAGGGGTTTTTGGAGACTTTATCTTTCTGTTCCCACGGTATCTGGTTGCTCATGGTATCTGATGGACTGTCTGTCTGCCCATCCATTTGGGGAAGTGAACTCCTTATCTACTGTTTCGTTCTCAACAATTCAGCAGGTAGGGCACTTTCTTTTGGTCCCAGCAGATGGTGTTACAAGCTCTGTTTTTTGTTACCACGCTGTTTGGGCCTCTGGGATCACTGTGGAGCAGCATCGTCCGGTTAAGGACAATACTGCACCCACTGGGATGGTGGGGGAACGTGGTGGGCAGTGGACTGGTTGTGTGAGCTCCCAGCACCACCTCCCTGCACTCATGTTCGCTGGCCCCCTGTGTTTTGGAAGCATCTCCACTGCCTCTGCCAGCCTCTGCCAGGACAGGCAGAGTGTGTGTGTGTGTGTGTGTGTGGAGGGTGGGGGTCGGGGAGAGACACGAGGGGAAATCTGGGGAAATAAGTTCACGTTCCACAGCCCCTGCAGCAATAGCTGCTGGCCCTGCTGTGGTAAGACTTCCAGCACCTCCCCAGGGTCCGCTCCGCGGGGAAGGAGCAGGGGAGGGGGGCCTCTTCCTGGGAGAACGCTGATCTGCCCCAGGAGCTGCGGCAGGCGCCACCTGCACTGTGGCTGTCACCCCGTCCTTCCCCGCCCACTCCAGTAAGCCCGCCTTCAGATGCACGAATCTCTCAAGCATGTTTGTGTTGAGCAGGGGATCCTTTATTGAGTTACAGTTGTCCAACTTGTTACAAATGTAAGGGAAGAAACAAAAGTGTCCTCACTCTGCCATGCTGCTGATTTTAAGGTGATGGGACTCCACTTTGTCAAGGGCACTGCATGTCAACAGTATGGCCCTCGGAGGTCAGTTTGGCAGAATGACGGAAGAAAGTTGACACTTGTGGGTGATTTCACTTCTAGGAATTCAGTTATTCAACAGACGTTCGTTGGCCTACCCAGTGCCGGCCCTGAGGTGGGTGCCCAGAAGCTGGTGGGGGGGAGGGGGAGGTCCTCACCCCTGGAGAACCTGCAGCAAGGACAGAGCAGTGTCCCTCAGTTATCTACAGCCACAGGCGAGGCTCTGTGAGGGGAGGTCCTGTCCTGGCTTCTGAACACCAGCCTGTGCGGAGCGGCTTGGCGACCCGGACAGCTCCCTCTGCCCCCTGCAGCTCAGATGGAGGCATCGGAGGCCAAGGAGCTAATGCCCATGGAGAAGCTGGTTCACAAGCCGCTGCCCCTCCCTCAGGAGGCATTGTTGCTGCCCAGAAGGCCTTCCTGTCTCAGAGCTCCAGGGAGGTGGCACAATGGCTGCACAGCTCTGGGAATATGCCAGAGGCTGCCATTTTGCACTTTAGAATGAAGTTTATAGTATGTGGATTATAACTCAACAAATCTGCTATTTAAAAAAAAAGGAAAGAGCCGAGACCGGTTTGGCTCAATGGATAGAGCGTCGGCTTGGGGACTGGAGGGCCCGGGTTCGATTCCGGTCAAGGGCATGTACCTTGGTTGCGGGCATATCCCCAGTAGGGGGTGTGCAAGAGGCAGCTGATCGATGACTCTCTCTCATCGATGTTTCTAACTCTCTATCTCTCTCTCTTCCTCTCTGTACAAAATCAAATAAAATATATTTAAAAAAAAAAAAAAAAAAAAAAAAAAAAAAAAAGGAAAGAAAAAAGCTCTATCAAGGGGTTGACTCTGCTAAAAATGTTTTCCTGCTGAGGAAAGCGAGCTTTGCGAACATTAGACTTGCAGACGCAAGGAACATCGCTCTCCTAGAGGGAGAGGCTCCAGAAAAGGGCCTGTGAGCAGAGGCCAGGTGCGGAGGGAGCCGGTGCTGCTGCTGCTGGCGCTGACCGCCCACCTCGGCCGCAGCATGCTGGGGACTCTGAGGATTAAGTGAACAGAGAGGCCCGAGAGTCTCTCTCCACGCCCTGCTGGCTCCATCTGTGCCCACAGCTTCTCCCCACCCCCTCCTGCCTCTCCACCGATTATAATTCCAGATACCTGAAGCCCGATGTGGACAAGAAATCCAAACATAAGACAGCAGTCAAGAAGAAGACCCTGAACCCAGAGTTCAACGAGGTACCAGGGCGGGTGAAGGCGCGGGAGGGACTGGGCTCTCCGAGGCCACAGCAGGGGGAGGGGAGCTTATGGGAGAGCCCCCAGCCCCAGGGCGAGGGGAGAGGCTACGGCCTGGCTGAGCCAGGCCCGACTGATGGCACACGGAGGGGAGGGGGCAGCCTAGGCAGTTTCAGAGGGTGGAACTGACGGGGTCGCGCTCACTGGATGTGAGGTTGGAAGTGGAGTGGGAGGTGGGGGAGATGGAGAAGCTCTGGGCGGGACATGACCATGGTGAGGAGTGAGAGAAGGGCGTGGGGCACAGGGGCCTCGGGGAGAGCCTGAGCAACGCAGGGGCAGGCAGAGGTGGCGCTTCGAGAGCGAGGGGGGCACCAGAGGGCAGAGCTCCATGGAAGCCAGTGGTCAGCAGAGCCAGACCCAAGAGAAGTCAGAGGACACCAAGGCTGCCAAACATGAGTTGCTGACAACAGGAGGCTCTGGGAATCTTGAGAGAGAGGGTTCAGTGACAAAGGGGCCCCTGAGGAGCCTGGCCAGGCTCTCAGGCGTACGTGGATGAGATGGATGAGGATCCACCATTGTCCACTACCAGGCACTGACCACCTCCCGCCTCCTCCCTCGGTTCACGCCCTCCCCGTACCTGAGCACTCCTGGCAGGTGGCAGTGGCCCTGACTCTCCCTTCTGGCCACCAGGAGTTCTGTTACGAGATTAAGCACGGGGACCTGGCCAAGAAGACCCTGGAGGTCACCGTCTGGGATTACGACATTGGGAAATCCAACGATTTCATTGGTGAGAGGAAATGGCCTCCGCCCTGAATCAGACCACAGCCCTTCCTTCCCGGCCTCTGGAGCAGTTTGGGTTCACAGACCACCCGCCCCACACGAGGGGCTTCAGACATTAGCCAGCTCGGCTCCCTGTGACAGAGGAAGGCAGGCCGAGGGCCACACAGGAGTGTGTGGAGCAGGTGTGGGAGGTGGTGATGGTCCACACCTCGGGCTGGGCTCGGCCCTGTGGCCCCGGATCCCTGTGGGCGTGGTGGCTGCACACAGAGTTGCCCCGCCCCTTCTGTCCCTCCCTTGGGCCTGGGCAGAGGAAGGGCAGGGTCCTGGGCCCTGATCTTGAGGGCCAAGAGTGTGGCATGGCGGTAAGACCCATGTCCACCCTTCAGAGTCTCCTGGGCAATGTGGAGAGTCCAGCCCTGGGGCATGGAACCTGGGAGGGCGGGGTTACACTGGCTCCAGAGAGATGGGCTTGTGGGAACACCTGCCCCAGGCCCCTGGCTGCCCCCTGAACTTCCCTCCTGCAGGCGGTGTGGTTCTGGGCATCAATGCCAAGGGCGAGCGCCTGAAGCACTGGTTCGACTGCCTGAAGAATAAGGACAAGCGGATCGAACGCTGGCACACGCTCACCAACGAACTCCCCGGGGCCGTGCTCAGCGACTGACTGGCCCCCGCCTGCCACTGCACCCAACCTTGCCTCTCACTTGGCCCAACACAGGCCTGGCCCTCCTCAGCTGCCACCGAGGGCCTTGGCCCCCACGATGGGGGAGACAGGACACCTGCTCGGACACAGAACCACTGCAGCCCCCTCTTGGAGGCCATGGAGGTCCCAGCCACCTGAGGGACAACAAGGGCAGAGGACCTGACAGGGCCAGAGGGAGGCGGAGAGGAGCTTGGCCTCAGCACCTGCCCAGGGACGGGGCCGTCCGGGAGGGAGCACCCTACTCGAGCTCAGCAGTAAGTCACAGGACTGGGCTAAGAGAACAGAATGCAGGGACACTTTGGTGGGTCCACTGAGAACTCCTGAGACGAACACTAGGAAGAGGATGTTGGGGGAGGAGATTGGGGGCAGGACTCTGACTAGATCCATTCATCTCTGGCATTCCTGGGCAGGTGGGAAAAGGTTAACCTGAAAGTCTAGTGAATTTCCCAGAAGCTCCTAGTGAATGTGGACACTTGGCAGATACTTCCCTCGATTATTTCACAAGCCTCTGGGGATGGCTGAAACCCAGGGCCTGCCCTCAGGGAGCTTCCCATCTAGTCAGGAGCTGGAAACGAACCGTTACAGTGGGGGTGAGGAACGCATGGCCAGCATGGCCCGCCTGTGGGTGCTATGGACTCTGCTGGGAGGGCTCCTAGAGGGGTCATGCTGCAGGAAGGCCGGGAAGGGTAGGGGAGTGTCAGGCAGCCAAAAGGGAGGCAGTGGGCATGGTCTGCAAAGGCCGGGAGGGGAGAGAATGGTGGCTGGGCCAAGGGCATATGAGGGACACAACTGTTTCTCTGGGGGAAGGGTGTGTGAGGACAGGAGTGGGGCCCAGGCACGATGGTGCCCAGCCCTGCTCCCTCTCCATCCCTGGCGGCCGGGCCAGCCTGGGCTTCTAGCTTTGGGGAATGACAGAAGCCCTGTGGTGAAACTGATGTTGTGTAGGGTCAAGTTCAATCCTCAGGCCCAATTCACCCACCTTTGATCCCATTCTCCTCCTGAGGAACCTTGAGGATCAACCTTGCCTCTCGTTCTTCCCAGCATCAGATTAGTTGTAGTCAGAACAGGAAAAGGCCCCTTGTTTTGCATGAAAAGCAGCAAAAATTCCTCCTGTCCACATCCACTTCTCTTCCTCTGCCCCTCCCGGGCCTTGGGGCTTGTAGTGGGGGATCCCAGACGGTTGCCCACATCCCCAGCCCTACTGTGGCCACTGATGTCCCTCTCGGGAATACTGGGCAGCACTACAGGGCCTGGTTTCTGGGAAAGCTAAGAGGAAGATGGCCTGCCTGTGGCCTAAGTTAGGGTCTCCAAAGAGGGGTTGAAGGATTGGGGCCCAAGTCTGACGCCCCAGATTTTCCCTGCTTACCAAGGAATTTGTGTTCAATCACTGCACTGATGGGAGAGGGAACCCACAGAGGGAAAGGCCTTGCAGCCTTACCATACCTAGGGCAGACCAGGCGCCATGGCTCCCGTCCCACCCCCAGCCCAGCACTCTGGACACACAAGAGTTCCTGCTAGCTGCCAGCCTGGGGCTGTGCCCTACCTGCTGCCCACACACCCCAACGGGAGCAGCAGGGCTCACAGGGGTTGACCTGCTGCTGCAAATAAAGCACACCACCATCCGAGGCCTGGGGCAATGATGTGAATCCCCACCAAGTGCCCGTCAGCCCTTCCCCGTCTGCAGGGAACTCGGGACTGCAGCCCCCCACAGTACCTGGCAAGCTTGGCTGGTCATGGAACCTTGGTTTTCCCATCCTTAAGAAAGCTTTGTGCGCTGTCTTAAATGAATCTTCACAACCCTGTGTTTGGGTGAGCTCTGGGTATCTTCTTAACTTTGCTTTTTGGAGGGCCTTATTCAGAGAGCAGACTTGCAGCCTCTGTAAAAACAGAAATTCTGAAAGGCAAAGCTAGAAAGGGCTGTGAGTCCACCTGGTACAACTTCCTTACTAGACACATAGGGAAACCGAGGCTCAGCTGGGCAAGAACCCAGGACTCCTAGCACCCTGTCCAGGCCCCTCTGCTGCCCAGGCTGTGCAAAGGCCCTCAAGATGTCCCAGCCGACCACAGGAGGCGAGGCTTCCAGAGCACAGCCACGGAGAGTGAAGGGTGGGGCCCTTGAGCAGGAGGGCCCCCAGGGAGTGGCCCTTCCCAGAACCCTGGCGCTGTTCTCAACCACTTGCAGATTGTATCTCTGTTAAAGAAAAGCTCTTTGAGAAGCTGCAAAGCTCTGCCTTTGACCCCAAACTGGCATCTTTCCTCTGACCCATCAGATCTACATAGATGGGAAATTGACACCAAAAAGGAAAAAATGTCATTTCAAAGTTAGGTGTCAGTAACCAGGGGTCTCCCAATGCGCTGCATCCACCTCCACCACCTCCCTTCCTAACCTCCGCCCCACCCAACGCCAGCACTAGCCAATCCCGACGGGCCAGTCTTCCAACCCTAAAGCGGTAACCTCCTGACCTCTAGGGGTGAGATCGAGGAACTGCACCCCCGGCCCGTGCATGTCCAGTCTTTGTTGCTGCCCAACTGAGAACCTCTCGATGCATGGACTCTGGCTGTCGTTGACACAGACTCTCGTGCACTGCTTAACACTGTTTTGCTACCATGTGACGGCTGCAGACACCATCCTTAAACTGCAGCCCCACACACAATTTTTGTACTTTCGTCTGACCTACCCGAAGGTGTCCTTTTTAAGTCTCATTTGTTAATATTTGTAAAGACATATAATCCAAAGTAAATGGAAACGTTCACTGCAATCTATTGGCTTGGGAGATCATTTAATAGATTTGGACGGGTGGGCAGGAAAGAGCGAGGAAATTGCAATGGAGCTTATTCAGCACATTCTCCCATTTACTCTTCACCAGGAATTCATTTGAGGTAGGTTCCCATGTTACATATGAGAAAACAGGTTCAAAGAGGTTGGACCTCTGCTAAGTGACAACCAGAATTCAACTCATGCTGCCCAAAACTCTTTATACCAGGAACAGCATAGCATGCCACACTGCCAACCGCCCATTCAGCAAACAGCTGTGGAGTATTAGCTTTAATGCCAGGCACCAGACTAGTCTAGATTCTAGGTCTAGGCTTTTGGAGCAGATTCATCAAGAAGACAATAAACAGTATAACAACGATTTAAAGTAAAAGACTTAAATGGGCACGTGGGCTAGATTGGTTGGCTTACAGAGGGAGATCAGCGGGGCCGCTGGAGAAATGACTTATAAGCTAAGACGTGGAGCCGGTGAGGCACTTGGTGTGCTTGAGGAAGAGTATTCTGAGAGAAGGGAATAGCTGTGCCTGGAGCAGGGTGAGGCAAGAGAAGAGCAATAGACGAGGGTACAGGAGACCAAACAAAGGAGGACTTTATAAAGACTGGCTTTCACTCCACATGAGAGGGAAGCTGACTTCATTTCTCACAGGCCCCCACCAGAGAACAAACCTGTCAGGCAGGTGAGCAGTCCCTGTTGGGAGGTCTCCCGTGGAGGCATGCTGGTGAGTCCAGGGTTCCAGGTCTAACTGGTGTCCAGTCTCCAGAGCAGTGGCAGCTGGGTCCTGACCGAGCCTGCTGAGACATGATTCTGGTCAAGGTTCTGGCCACCAGCCTCCCTTAGCAACCGCCTCTGTGCTGTCCTCATTTTCCAGTTCTCCCACCCATCCTCTGAACTACCTGATACCCTTCCAGTGCGTTCCTCCTCTGCTTACGTCAGCCAGTCAGAACCTGTTGTTTTTGACAAACAACACTGGTCCTCTGATGCAATCTGATCATCTAGGTTACCTCTTTGTGAGGCCCTGACAACCTCCGTCATATCACCATGGCACTTATCAACAAAATCACCCTGTGCACTGCTCATCCCTTTCCCCCCTCACGAACGTTCATGAGAACTGGGGCCACATCTTTCTTATTCATGAGTTACTCCATACCAGAACTGAGCATGGAGTAGCCCTCTTTGCTGGAGGAACGGATGAAAACTGCCACCAGAAACGCTGTTTGAAGGGAACCAGGTCCGTGTGTCTGGAGCATGTGATGACATGTTGGGAAGAGTATAAGTGAAGGGAACAGCCAGCGCCCCTCCAGGTGGGGCAGGCTTGGAGTGACTGAGGAACAGCCCATGTGGCTGGAGCAGGGAGTGGCAAGGGAAGAGCTATAGAGGCGTTTGGTCAGGAGATCGGACCAAGTAGGACTTCATAAAGACTGGCTTTCACTCTACACGAGAGGGAAGCTGACTTCATTAAGCCCAGCAGTAAGTGTGCAAAACTCCTGTTAACCCCAGAGAGCCCTGGAGTACAGATGAGAAAGGAACCCAGCGACCACTGGCTCATCCTGAGGAGAGGGAGGAAGGAACTCGGGGAGGAGGAAGAAACAAGCAACCCTAGCGGAGGCTGAGATGAACGAAAGGAATGGTGGGAGTGGGCCTGGGAAAAGCTGCAGAGGCAGGTGGGGGTCAGGAAAGCCAGCTACTACACTCGGCCCAGGAGAGGGGGAGAGCTCAGGATGACCAGACATAGTTTTCCTATTGTCCAGTCCCAGGAGGACGACTCCAGGCAAGGGCTGAAGAGAGGTCTAGAAACCAGTTACACCAGGAGGGGCATGACCCTGACACCCAGGGCCGGCAGCCGTGGGGAGGGGACGCAGACTCCCTGTCCGGTGGAGCCAGTGTTGCAGCATGAATCCTGACGGCTAAGATTCCTTGGTGCATAAACAAGCACTGCGCTAGCCTCTATGACAGTTAAACAGATCATCTCCCAGCCAAGAAATTACAGATCAAGTCTCAGATGGGTGCAAAGTGAGGTGGTGCACTAGGGCAAGACTGACAGAAGGCCGAGCTCAGCCTGGGCTGTGAGGAACAGGTGAGGAGCAGCACCGCCTCTATAGGCAGACCTGGCCCGGGCCCTGCTGGTCCCCGGCTCCCCAGGGTGCTCCAGCACAGCTATGGCGGACAGCCTCCTCCAGAGACTGCTCT